ACTCAATGGAAAGAGAGGAAAAGGTGAAAGAAAAGAAAGAAGGGAACAACTATTTAAATATTCTAGTTTGCTTGTAACCTCATGACAAGTTGCTCTCTACTTCCAAGATAATCAAATCCAAGTTCATGCATAACAAGAATAAAGCAGTATCAAAAAAATTTAAAATTATTTGAGAAAGGCTACACATTCTATAAAAAATTTTGGGTGTACATATATTATATTCATTAAACCAAAAACATACACATGACAAAAATAAATTTTGTGCAGCTTTTGTGAATTATGCATTTCTTTATATTTAGAACTTCCGATTTGCAAATCATAAATCATATATGGTTTGATCAGATAATTTAGAATCCTATTGATTGTATTCTAGTTTTTTTTGGCTAATGCATGTATTCTAGTTAATATACATGATCACAATCTTTAGTCATGGTTTCTAGATTTTAAAAATTTTCAGTTTACAACAGATTTTAGTGCACATGTATCAGATCCATGACTAGATGTGTTCCTGAATTCTATCGATCATATCCTAGGTAACAACTGAAGCACATGTTCATCCATCTCCAGCCCTAATATCCTGAATAAACAACCATGTGTTTCAAAAGTTCTTCTCTTTAAAAGAGCCATGACGCAGCAAGCGGAATAAGGGCAGCTATGTCGAATAATGCAATGTCCATGAACGGGAGGGTTGAAATGAATCTCATATCGCAAGATTCAATTGTGCTAAGCCATCAACGACAGCATGACATGGGAAAAGGGCTACCGAGTAGGATTGGAGCTATGAATAACTTCAGTAGTCTTCGGTTTGATTAGAAAACCTCTCTGTGAGAAACGTTGTCTCTATTGACACCATTACTGTATGTTTTATAAATCAAAGTCTTGAGAGAGGAGGAAATAGTTTGACCCTCTGATCCCACAGTAACGAAGAAAAGTCAAAAAAAAAAAAACTCAGTAACTGTGTTCTCTTTTCGATGTACGATTTCACGAAAAGGAAACAAATATAGCAGCTTCTTTCATAATGACAATGCCTCTGACTTGTCTAACTTTTCTGTAAGGCTAATGTTGTATTATGCTTTTCTATTGAGTTTCTCTTCGGTGCGCAGTTCTCTACAAATTGGAAACTTGTTGAGTGTAGCATGTAGAGATCTTGCTCTTACGCTATGAAGCAGGGACACGCATAACATAAAATCGTGTTGTGTACATGTCAGACGCATGTGTCGGACACACGTATCCTATGTATTTTTTAGGATTTGCCTCGTGTCAGCGTGTCGGGTGGCCTTGTCGGATCTGTGTCCGTGCTACATAGCTCTTATGTACTTCTTTGTTCATTTCTCCATTAATAATGTTAAAAAATTACTGTTTTATGATTAGTTGACCATTATAGCTGCTACCCTTCAGTTCTTTAATTAAATAGTCAATGTTTAAATTTTAAATTCCTAGAATTAAATTTAATAGTGTATTTCTAGAAACCATAAATAAGTCTAATAAGAAAAAATTAAATGCAAGTCTGACCTCATCTCGATGAGAAATCTCTACTACCACTGCTCGTACCAAGCTAACTACGTGCAAATAGTTGATGCACTAAAGCCTCCAATGGAATATAAAACATAAGCAAGCATAAACGGGGAGAGAACAAAAGTTTTATCCAGTACAACAAATAATATGCAAACATGGAGGAAAAAATGAGGGCAACAAACAAGAAAGAAAAGAAGTTGCATAGGAATAACTTACACCGGAGGAGGCTGTTGATGCTCAACAGGAAACATGTGAACATGTTCACTTCCAGTGTTATTGCCAGATCCATTGCCACTGCCAAAAAAAAAAGAAATTAGATTCAAAAAAGGAAGAAATAATAAAGTCAAATTTTGATTTAGACCTAGTCTTCACAATATACACACATTTTCTCTTTCTGTATATATTTAAGAGCACTGGTTTCATGATTTTTTGTAAACCAATAAGTCTAATAACTCAGCTTTGGACATCTCATTTCCAAATGATAAAGATGGATGCACTTTTAAGTACTAATGACTGCATATTTGGACACGGACCTGGGTGGGAAATGTTGATACCTATTTATCATTGGTTGGACATCTAAAGCTTCAAAATATTTTGTTCATGACATGATTAACCAGTAAAAAAGAACCCAACATTGTCAACATTCTGAACATGAAGACGCCAGCCCTTCATAAATGGAAGAAATAACTTGTACACATCAAAAGTAACATTTCAAATTTGAACCTATACAAAAATCAATAAACCATGCAAATATAGTGAAATCATAGCACAATAAAGTAGTTAGGTAAAATATTAGGCCATAGTTTAAAGCAAGTTAATGTATCTATCTCCTGACATAAGAATCAGCAAGGAAGCTCTGAAGTTAAGAATCAACAAAAACTTGGAAGTTAATAATACTAAGAATAAAAAGAACGAATAGAATAAGCATCTCAAAGTACGGTTTTCTTTCCAGCAATGAAAATTGGTATTATGACGTTTATAAGTTGCAAAAACAAAGTACGGTTCCTACAAATGCACTAGCAGTTCAAGTTCACTATTGAAATAAAGTTACTAACCAGAACTGGCTAACCGCCATGTCCCCTATGTAGATAAAAGTGGCAACATGCTACAAATTTACTCAATGACGCATGTGATCAAGGGACTCATTGGCATTCATAATTTCACACCAAGGATGCACTCAAATGGCACATGTGAGTTCCATTAACATTCCCACCGTTCTTATCCTGTTGAGTGTAAATGTTAGTCAAAGCGGTAAAATCTCAAGATTCGCAGGGTGCTTGAAACTTGCTAGGTATTGTGGAGATTAATAAAAACAAAGAATTGGAAGTTAGATAGCGAGGCAGGGTGTGGGAGTAGTCGAAGAAAATTATTATTTGTTGAGTGATCACATCATTTTCTCTATCAAAATTTGTCATGTGAAGAGGAAACAGCTCAAAATCATGCTAATAATATCTCCATGTATACAAAGATTGAAGTATGCATACACAGTTATGATAATGAATTGAGATCCTACCTAGCTAGTAGATAAATATGAGAAAATGGCCAGAAATCTTTAGAACAAATGATATAATGTCGTAATTGGTAAATGGAAATACTGAATGCTCCAAATTATGTAAAAACGCAGCAGGGAAGCACTCCAGATCAAGTTTCCAGCCCATCAAATGCACGTACATGTGCATGGTTGATTCTTGTCTGTTATTAATTTGAGATGCATCACATACATCTAATATATTTAGTTAATTTATGATTTCATTAAAGAAAGAACGCCCACAAATCTTGCCTCTAGATTTATGCAATATTCAAGCGATTTAGTAAAATTATAATTTTTGAAACTAAAATATCCATAGACAGGAGTAAAAATGGACAACATTTTCTCTCTTTTGCACTAGCTAATTTAGCTCAATAACTTCTCAACAAACAGTTATAAAGCCAAATCTAAAGCACTACAATTTTCCAACTATAAATGGACTAATGAAGATATAAGATGATAATAGTTAAAATCAAATCAAATAGGGATTATAAAGCACAGTTTCTGAGTACATACTTACACAAGTAATAAAGCAATACCACATCCACATTTGAAGCTACTCCATGTAGAGACTAAATTTCTATTCTCTATTCTCTATTATCATGCTTCAAGTAAATTCATTAGTAACAGAGGAGAGGGGAGTGATACTCACTCAGGATCATGACCAGCTTTCCTCCTCTTGCTCGATACTTTCAGTCAAAAAAAAAAAAAACAAACAAGAAACAATCAACAAGTTCATACCTTTCCGCAAGAAAATTGATCGACCCATCAGAACAGTGCCTGACCCTAACCATCCATTTCAAACCAGCACCCCAATCAGCAACCGATTGGATCATCGAGTCGGTCCTTCGCTCGAACCCAATGGTCCACCACCCTGATCAAATCACCAGAGCTCGAACCGGCGGCATCGAAATAAGGCTCGAGATCAAGAGACGAGAAGAGGGAATAATCCTTCGATGTCTCAAGCCAAGATTTTCACGAGAGCATCACCCCCATCCATCAATCTCGTAAGCTTAGATGTCGGAACATGTTAATGAGGAGGACCAGAGTTAGAACCGACTAGTCTCGGGTCTGTTCTGGCCGGATCCGAGGTACGTCTTCGTCGACTCCGGCAATTTTCTTGTCCATGAGTTTGATTTTGGGGTGAGGCTACGGCGGCATAGGGAAGCAGCAACGATGGCAAGGGAGAGAGGAGGTCAAGTAGCAGGGCACGAGGGGACAGAGGAGGTCAAAGGGTTGGGGAAACAGGGGCGGCGGAATGAGGCAGCGAGGGACAGCAGGATGGGACGACGGAACTAGGGGATAGA